ATAAAATTTTGTGCAATGCTGGATTAAATTTCCAAACTTGTTGCAGTTTGCAGTCGTAGTCGCTACGTTTAATTAAAAATAAGGTGTTCTTTCATAACCTTCAATAACTCACAATTTGGATAAACGATTCAAATGGAGTGGATTGGATTTGAATGGAAGTTTCAGAATTTAATTTATTTGAAAAGTATACAAGAGTTTATCAGTGACATGACTCTCTCACGAGAGGAACAATATGGAACTCAATTCAAACTAAAATCACGGACTTCTCAACAAACATGTGAACATTATTTACTTATAATTACTAAATGTGCAGTTTTAATTAACAGCAGTTTCTCCATCTTTTTTCAACAATGATTGGTTGACCCGAAGAAATGGAGAAGTAGAAGGTGTAGACCATACATACATTGGTTCTGCGAGGTTTAAGATGATGATAAGTATTTAGCTGTAGATATGGTTCTATCAAAGTCGCATTCGTATGTCCTCTCAACTTGATCAACACTTGTTTTCCAATACCTGGCTTAGCTAGAGCAGAAACAGTGGTCGATCGATTACGATTGGAAATTATTTTCTGTTTTTTGGTGTTAATTTTATTTCTCTCCGCTAAAGTTTCAGACCGCTTAGACATCACTCTTAATGGACAATTTTTGGACGTCCCTTTTGCCAATTTGAATTAACCGTGAGAGGTAATCTGTCTATTGTAATATGCGATGCTCATTTTCTCCTCCATTTTAGAAATAATATAAGAGGGCGAATATTTTTAGTCCTCTTAATTTATGCACCTTGAGCGGAGTTGGAAAATCTCCGGTTATACTCAATTCGAGTAGAGTTGAAGTAACATTTTGGTTGTTCATCCGCATTGTCTTTATTGTAGCTCTGCGGATTATTTTCAGTATTTGCATTATACCAGTATAGTGAAATATTCTCAGTACCCTGAGAGGTTTTCCATGCCTATCAAAAAAAACTCCATCGAATTTGCGAATAGAGTAATGATGCCGATGAACTTTCACTAATTTTGATAAGCTCGCCAAATTGGCGGTTCAAAAACCATTTGTTACAAGGGTTTTCCAGCGAGGACACTGATATTTTTGAAAAGCCTGTTTAAACTCTTACGGAAACGCATATTGGCTTAATTGGGACAATTTTCAATACACGTCAATGACCGATTCTTCTTAGAAATTCTAGTGGACTAAGTGGACATGGTATAAACGAAAGGTAATCTATAAGTACCAAAGGCGAGAATATGGGTTATTCTGTTATATTAGGCCCTAGGTTGCTCAATTTCCTCAACTTAAGAAAAACTTAAATTCGACAATGTCGCACTATGGGTGATTTACAACGCTGATCCTTTCCTTAAAGCTGTTTGCCCTGAATAGCTTCTTCTGGTCGCATTCAATTCGGTGTTTTCTTGCATCTGAATGGGGGCAGCTTTTTTAGTTGCACGATCTTTGGTTTGGCTTTCAGCAAAAGTTACATCCCGTACACCGAGTCGTTGATTTTCTGGATGATCCTATTTGGTCCCTTCCCCGGTCTTTTTTATTCCGAGCTCTGTCCTCTCCTCTGCTGTGGCTGATATAACTAGACGGCTTCGCCTTTGTTGCAGGTGTTTAGTGTCGTTTTTTACATTTCATTTTTATGCTGTCATTGTTCATTCGTAGTCATTCTTGACGAAATCATGAATCACTTCTCCTGTCCTGAAGATCAGCCACAAAAACTAAGAATAGAGCTTCGTCCGGCTGGTGGTCTGCCGAAAATAAGATCTACAAGAAGTTTCCTTTCTCTTCCTTCCAACAGCATTGATAGCGTTTAGCCGGTGGATTGATGCTGAGAGCTTCTATAAGCCAGTAAAAGAGGCCCTAGTTCTCGCTGGTGGTCATCCATAAACATCGATATACAGGGTGTCCCACTAAGGTCGGCCAGCTACGAAATTATGGAGACCATAGACCTCACGTAACTTGAAAACGAATGCAGATATTGAATTGCGGTTTGCGCCAAAATGTAGATATTTTTTTGCTCTTTAAGCACAGCAATACAAAAATAATATTATGTAATTTGGATTTTTCATGAAAATTAGGAAAAACTGGATCTTGAATAAACAGCGCCCTCTAGCAGACGCGGTGGGAACTATCGACCTCGAACGAAGTGGTGTTCTTAATAACAATGAAATTCTCTTCCAAATAAACCCAAATTGAACGAGTTTGAATGAGGGGTATGGAAGATACAGCAATTTCTCAAAAAAAATTTCACCAGCTTGCCCCACCCTTATCACTGAAGATACGAAAAAAAGCCTAATAACCAAACTGGCGCAAAAATTAATGAACTTTTGATTTCTGTTGTTAAAACAGTATCTTAATATAGCGATTTCTTGAGAAAAGTTGAATTTTTAGCTATATCATCGTAATTGCGCCCCCTAGCGGTCATCCTAGAAACTTGAAAATAATTTCCATCAATTTCTCTTGGCCGATTTAGTGAAAAAAAAAAAAAATACCCGAAGCTGTAAGGTCTATGGTTTCCATAATATCGTACCTGGCCGACCTTAGTGGGACACCTGGTATAGGCATTTGCTTGGTTCGCGATGGTGCCTCTCGAATATTCTGTCAGACTAGGGACGGACTGATTAGTTGAGGACATTAGCTTAAATACTAAATATTGCCAAACTTCTTGTACCAAACGCAAGCGAAATTTATACATTTATTTTTGTGTTTTTTTTTTTCCCGTGTTTTGTTCAACTTCCTGTTCTAGAACAACAAGATTGTTACACATAGCTTGAATTAACATAAATTTATGTGATGGTAAATAGCGCATCCATCAATCAAAATGAAATATAAAAACGGTCAGGCCGGTCATGGGAACCGACAACTTGATAGATACATGGGTCCTAGGTATACTATTTCGGATAATTGAAGCGTGCTTCTGGTGGAATAAATTTGACTTGAATTGGGCAGAACGAACTTCTCTTCTTCTAGCGTGGATTATTTATGACAAGAGGAAATATAAGTAAAATGTAATTTTTTATAAAAAATTAGGTACCTCCTCCTACATCGGAAACGTTTTGGAAAATTTTCGGTCTTCCTCGTCCAAAATCCGAAATAAAAAAAAAAACGTAGGTAATTTCACGGATTAATTGGTAACAAAGTTTAAAAGTTTTTGGCATGCTTTGTGCCGCTCTGTTCCAAAGAATTTTTCGTAGAAACCAGATTAAATTGAAAATGTAAAGAGAAACTGACAAGTCACATCCTCGCATTAACCACCCATGCAGAAAGAAATATTCGAGTAATAAAAGACGGAAGTAATTGTCGGCTATCGGCTATCGAAATGTGTTCTATAATGGAATCCTCTATGTAAATTTCCTCCCTGGTATTGCATGTATTTTTATTTTTTGGCTTAGTTTGGGTTAGTAATTTTCCAATTTCATAGTTGCTTATGTTAGAAAGCAATAATTATAATAATCGATCAGAGGAAATAATTTAAAGCTCTATTGTACCAGCAATGTACATATATGTATATATGTATATATATATATATATATATATATATATATATATATATATATATATATATATATATATATATATATATATATATATATATATATATATATATATATATATATATATATATATATATATATATATATATATATATATATATATATATATATATATATATATATATATATATATATATATATATATATATATATATATATATATATATATATATATATATATATATATATATATATATATATATATATATATATATATATATATATATATATATATATATATATATATATATATATATATATATATATATATATATATATATATAGAGAATTTTAAATAAAGTCGATAAAGTTATTCAGTGAAATAATTTTATTTTTACTTTCTTTTTCTTTATTATTTCTTAGGTTCACTTCTACTTTTTTTTTGTGCTATTTTTGGGTATGCAAATTTCTTCCCTCTCGTAAACTTCTTCCACTAGAATCTATACTTTCATATTTGTTTTATTTTTTTTTTCAAGATAAAAATATACATACTAAGGTCTCAATGCTACATCCACTCCCCAGGGTCACCTTACCCTCAGTGGTGACCGTCCTGAACAAATTAAATTGGGTCTGCAGCTCCTGTGTATCATAATGTGAACACACAATTACTTAAATTCCGTGTTTCTTTCTTAAACACTCAAAGTCAGTTACTAGGAGCAAGGTCTATGATTAGATTGTAATTTGATATTGCATTTGTTTGTCTGTGTTAGTCTATGGATTATGTGCGTGAACTAGGCTTTAGAGCGAAATTATGGACCAACTGGTAACGTCTCTGGCAAATTTACCCTGCTGGTAAAGCTAGAAATTGATTGCAATTCTCAGCTTTATCAGCAGGATAAATTTGTCAATAACGTTACCAGTCGGTCCATAATTTGGCCTTTAGGAATTGTAGGGTCGATGAAAAGGTAATTTTAAGGTATGGGTGGCGGGCAGAAACAGAACGATGTTTTTGGCAGGCTCGACGGGGCTTCTCCGAGTCCCTCACAAGAAACTGAAGATTCAATTTGTTTAGTTATCGCGGGTTTTATAGGTGTAATGTGAACCAAATTCAAACGAAATTATTTCTAAATGATGATTTTTCTATAAATATTAAATTTTTCACGAACGTCAAAATAAATTTCAGATTATTCATCCCGCAGAGCAATTAAAAGAAGGCAAACGCCAAACAAGGAGAAAGAGTTCAGCCGCGATCTTGGTGGAATTATAAGAAATTTTGCTTCGATCTGCCGGCATATAACATAAATTATAAAATCACAACGGGGGCACCAATTAGTTGATTATAGCGTGGCTGGGAAGGACATTTATGTTGGGTGCGGTTCAGAAGTATCACTTTTGCATAGTTCTGCAATACATCCGGTTTTCGGCTGTGAAAAATCATTGACTGCCGTGTATAACCTGATGCTTGTGCTTCCCTTAGCATTAAGGAGGTGATTAAAATAAATCAGATCAATAATGGATAGCGTGCTCACATACGCTTTATAAAATTATGATGCAATTATCAATAGCAAAATATCTATAACATTTCAAAATATGGATATAATATATTACTGTTGGACTAGAAAGTTGAAACTTGTGAAGTGCTGGTATTCCTCACCTGGGTAAAGAACTATATTCGGAAAGTTTGCCTGGAATGAACATAAATTATTACTAAAATTTAATTTTTCCATCGTTGGTTAATTACCTGATGAATGGCATCAGGATATTTCTGAGTTTCAAAACAAAAAGCTCCATGTTTTTTGTAAGTAGCACCTTTGCCTTGGCTTCTATCATTTTCCGGCAAAAAGTTTCCGGAATAAAACTGGACTCCTGGTTGATTGCTGTAGACCTCCATTACTCTACCACTAGGTTTGTGGTGAGCTTTCGCAACAAAAACAATACCCTCTGATGATGGTTTAGTAACGCAGTAGTTGTGATCATATCCAAGACCAGGGAACTTAGGGATTACATCTCCAAGTAGTTTTGGTACTCTTAGGTCGAATATCGTTCCAGATACCGTGGGAAGGGACCCTGTATAACAAAGAAAAAATGTTAATGTAGTTTAAGAGCAGAAATATTCACATATTTTGGTAGTTTCATCCCTTGGACAGCATGACTTAAGGGCCGGTTTATTCACCTTCTGATAAACTGTCAGGTATGAAATCTGGCGGATAGAAACGCAATCTGTTTTCCCATCCGCCGACCAATAGAAATATAGAACAGTACATTTATCTTACAGATAGTTACCAGCAAGTTAATCTGAATATGAATACACGGGCCTTAGACTAGCGGATGGTAATAGACGTTGTTCACTGCATCTTTGTGTTAAGTTTCCTTTGTATATACACGGTTATTTGTGGTTACTGAACTTTGATTTGCGAAAAAAGCATGTAATAGCGTATTTTTTTCAGTGTCTGTCTGTGTTAAGAGGTGATGATTGCAGACGTAGTGTTTTGATCAGAATCGATAGAGCAACAAAGTTTTCATTTTAAATTTATCGGCGTAACTAAGTTCTTATGATATTGATATTGCGGCAGAGTGCCCCGTAGCGATGGCAGTAAGAGCATTATTATTGAACTTCGAGAGGGTTTTCAGAACTTTGAAACTTAATTTCCAACTCCGGGTAAGCGGTGAGCCAAGTAACGATTAGGTAACTAATACAACGTTCGCGGTCTCTGAAATTTCTGTGCAAAGTAAAACTTAGTTAAAACTTAAACATTATGAACAAATGGGGCTTGGGTTTTGTATAAAATTTGAATTCATTGTTAATAGAGATTATAACAGATAAAAGTACCTGTTGGAATAGAAGTGTCATCTACTTCGGTATATTTATCAGCGTTAATTGTGATTTCATGTTGAAACAATCCTTCCGATCCAGAACCATGTCCTCCCAAGTTGAAATATGAGTGATTCGTCAGGTTAACTGGACTAGCTTTCGAAACTACTGCTTTGTAATTAATTTGAAACTCATTATCGGCTGTAAGTTGAAAAGTAATTGTTGCTAAAAGATCCCCTGGGTAACCTTCTTCCATGTCAGCTGAATGATACGTCAAAATAAGTTTGGTTCCTTTAACACAATAATTCCACAAGACCTTGTCAAATCCTTGAATTCCTCCGTGAAGATGATTTGGACCATTGTTGACTGCAAGTTTATAGTTTACACCTTCGACATTCTACAAAAGCATAATTTGTTGAAAATCAATAAATTTCGAATAATTTCCATTTTTACCATTTCACCTTTGGCTGTTCTATTAGCCACCCTTCCAATTGTAGCACCATAGTATCTATTTTTAGGTCCCAAATATTCCTCAATGGTATCGAATCCGGTCACGATATCTTCAACATTTCCATCCTTATCAGGGATTCTGATGGAAGTTATTGTTGCTCCCCAGTTGATAACCTGAAGACAATTAAAATAAATAATACTTTTTGTAATCTAAAGATCATGAAATTTATTTGAATAACACTTAGGTACTTTGACTCTAATATTGGGATAACTTCTTCTTCAAGTAAACTGCTCTACATTTCTTAGTATACCTAATTTATCGACATAATTGCTCAAATCGTTTTGCGCTAATCAAACATTCAGTCTAACGTCATCATTTTATCAAATTCATTTCAGGAACTAGGAAACATTTAGAGCCTTGTTAATTAGCCGATGTTTCCGAAGTAACTAAGATAATATTGGCTCATTGATTGAAAATCTATTAATTAGATACGGTTTAATTATTGTTTGTTTTAATCTTATCCTTATTACTATCGGTAGCTTATATAACAGCTACTTATGTGTGGTTGTTTATCTCTAAGAGAAAAGTCGCGTTTAATCACAATCGCTCCGATGAAATTGAATGTTTTCGCCGTTGGGCAAAACTCACACAAACATTATAATGCTGGGTCTAGTTGATAGATATTTCTCAGTTTTCGATCAACGGACATTTAGCAGTCACAAAATTTGAACTGAACCGCGAACTGCAATATATAATTTTGTGCATTTTTTTGAAATGTTCAACGTTCATTCGAAATAATAGATAATGAAGGTACTTGAAAAAGTATAGCATAGGTACTTGAGAAATTTTCGAAAAACACTCGAATCGCTATTTTTCTCAGAGATTTTGTTGAACTGAAAAATATTTACACTTTTTGAATTCGTAAAAAAGTGCCCCACAAATCTATATTTATCCTCATCTTGCTTATACACATGAATGAACTTACACTTGTGTTGCACTACCAATTAAAAAACCTGCAGTCAGGTTTTGAATCCCTCTTCAACTACATTATGTTATCGTTATCAGTTTACCCTAGTACATTTATCATTTGCAGAAAAAATCCAATACAAACCTGAACTGTAGTCTTTTTCACGTTCCCCCAAGTGAATCTCTTAACATTTCTGGTTTGTCCAGATGCATCTTGATAAGATCCAAAGTCATCCTCAGATATCCAGACGGCAGCTTTGGCAGTTGGTACTCGAGCACAGGTGGTCAACAATTTCGACATACCTATTTTAGATGTTTCGTTCGGGTAATGCCAGCACTTATTCACAAAAACAATTTTTATGTTTCGGCGAGAGTATACGATTTATTCCGGCACCAAACGCGTTACTGCTCATAATAATAATTATTGTGTGCTGTTTCAAGTTGTTATCAACAGATAATTTTTTGATTCAATCGTCATTTAATGTTTCGTTGAAAGTGGATTGGACCAGTGGCGTGGAATTTTCGTAAATAAAACTAGTAGTCCAGCAATAAAATAGTATTTTTGATGGAAAATTTTTAGATTTTCTCTATTCCCTATGTTTTTCGGGGTGCTGAATCCGAATCTAAGGATTGCTAACAAAATTTCGTAACATTGCAAAAAAGGTACAAAAAAGGTAGTTTTGGCAGTCTTTTGCTTATAACTCGAATGAATTTTTTCAGAAAAAAGCACTTCAATTCCAAATGAAAGTACATAAAATTTACCCTCCTCAGACGAACTGTTCGGGAACAAAAATCCACTTTTTATCTGCAAAACTCTAATTTATTATTTTCATCACTTTTTTATTAAATTTTCATAGCTCCCTGATGGCGGAAGGTCCTGGCAGAGGATCGGGTTTTTCTTGCATTTACAAGATATGCGTTCGGTGCTGGTTTGGAACGTGCACAAGATCACCTTTTCTTTTTCTACCCCCATTCGTTCTGGTCTCTTTGTTGTTCATTGAATATAGTTGAATGTCGTTCGCACGTGAAAGTGAACTATCTGTAAATGTTCTCGTGCAGCAGCTTCAGTGGGAGGTAGTGCGGCAATGATGGGCTTGCTTTTCTAAGATGATGATATCTACATCTACATCTTCATCTACATATCTACATCGCAAATCGTTCAAAATAGTCTCCCGGCCTTTCCCGTACAAAGCTATGAGAAACGATAGAAACATGTCGCCTGCTTGAGTAATTTCGTCCTAGTAAGTTCGAGGGTCTTTGAAAGCCTCAATAACTGGTACCAAGTCATTGTTTTTTGCAGGACAGAGCGGAAGTTTTGTCACAACCGACAACCGTCCACTCATCGCGTGAAGGAACAATGATCTGATAGGTGAGGATCATTGATGATGTGAGAACACCTCTCCTTTCCACGGTTTCATGAAGGATAATTTTTTTATAGCACATCTCTCTTCTTTTTACTTGACACAATAAACTTATTCAACCTTTTTTTCCGGCACCGTTGTTATTTTCTCTAAATCATTATCCAGTTTTTCATCACAAATTTAATAGACGATCGAGGGTATTTTTAACAGTACCCGTAAACTGCATTTTGTTTAGTAAATTAGAATGAAGAGGAATTTACTAAATGAGCTTTTAATACTCAATTTGATTATTGAAGTGAAAAAGGTGGGTTTTTGGGGAGAAATAAAATACGACAATTTACGACTAGCGCTTGAGCCCAAACGGTTCGTTCTACAAAAAAAATCTAGGGATGTAATTCATATAAAATTTTATGCTTTTTTCATTTTGAATTGAGGTATTTTTTCCGAAAAATTGATAGTTTTCCAGTTCTACGCAAACGAATGTTTCAACTAGTGATGTCGCGAGACGAGACTAAAATGACACTCTCGTCTCGTCTCGTCTCGCCCTAATCTCGTCTCGTCTCGAGGCCATTTAGTCTCGACTTCAAGACGAGACGAGACTAAAAGAAGCGAGACGAGACGCGATTCTCGACTAATCTCGTCTCGTCCTTCAAATAATCGTTTTAGTTTCTTTTTCAATAATGTTTCAAAGGAGCTACCTACAGGAAATCTTTTATTCGATAGTAATATAACGAAAGCAATGGAAATTATCGAAAATTTTTGGTAAATTTTCCCGAATGCAGTTTCAGTTGAAAAAGAGCACGAGTGCCTTTTTCAGTTGAAAATGCATGAGTGCAAATTTGTCAAAAATTATAAATATATTTCCATTGCTCGAGTTGTATTTTATGGGAGAATTCCATTTCCTTTTCCTTTTTCAGTTGAAAATGCATGAGTGCAAATTTGTCAAAAATTATAGATATATTTCCATTGCTCGAGTTGTATTTTATGGGAGAATTCCATGAATCAAAAATTTGAATGTTTAGTATACCCTCGTAAGTATAAAAATGTCACTGGTCACAAAAAATGTCAAATGCCACCCGTTAGTGTGCAATTATCCGATAATCCTGCACTAGTGTAAATTATCACGTAATCGCAATCTGATTGGTTGCAATCAACAATTAAAACATACCAGTTTATGGTTGGAATACCAGTTTTGACAGATGAATGAAATTCTCTTCAAGATTGACGAATTCATTAACTTTACTCAAGGTTATGAAAAATAAAGCACACCACATTTTTGTGTTTATTCCTGTTACATGAATTTTATTGAAAAAATGAAAAATTTCTAACAAAATAAAATATATTTAGTGATAGGTATACATATGGTATATGCAGTGTTGTTCCTGGAGAAATTTCAAATGAACTGAAACCGCAAGGATAATAAACACTACAGGATTGCCCATAAGGTCTGTGTAGTTCAAATCTCAAGCTCCCCACTACGCAAAAGTACCACTGATGACGTAGCAGCGTGTCGGGTGTTTGCACCACAGGCTATGATTCCGCTGATTGGCTTTATGAACTTGGTTTCAGTACATTAATTAGCATTCAAAAACAAACCTTTCGTTAAAATCTTTTCATCTCTACATATTATGTCATCAATCATAAATTTGAATTCTAAACTACGACCGCTGGCGCAAATAGTCGTCTGCACCGTTGATGACGTTGCAACGGTGCTACACCATATGATGTTGATGCGCAAATCGAGGCCGATGAGCAATCCTGTGTCCTGTAGTAGTGTTTATTATCCTTGCTGAAACGGGTCATGCGATTATACTGTTTTCAGAGCAAATTGTACTGTTTTCAGAGCCAATTGTACTATCTAGGAACAGTGTTGCCAGATGAAATAAAAAAAATTCGTGAGAATCGAGAAAAAAAAAAATCGTGAGACTTAAAACTGCTAAAATATTGTAAGAAAATAATGCACAACAATGTTGTTTTATAGATTTTTGATAAAGTATACGTGATTTTACATCCATAAGAAATAGAAATTTTATTATTAAATCTTGTATCCTTGTTTTTTCCGTATTTTAGTAGGTGTTTCTGAGAGCTGAACCTCGTTTTCATTATCCGCAGGATTACTCATATGCTCATCTTGAAAAGGCGTACGTTCGCCAATCTCGAGTCGGCAGCTGGTCTGCGACTGACGTCACCATCAGCAGCTAATAGTGGTATAGAATTTTTAATACCTATTTAGAAGTACCAGTCGTTCTAGTGACTAAACGTTTGTCGTTTCTTGAACACACAAATAAAATTAGGTTTTTTCACATGAATTTGACGTATTATCAATCGACAATCGTTTTTGTTGGTAATTTTTTGTTTCATCTGATTTGTGATTGATAAATAAGGATGAGGTTATTCTAGATGGGTATTAAAAATACTATAACGTCACCCGCAAACCTCGATGGATATTGCTTGCAATTCAGGCTGTGCTTGTGAGTTAGTTTTTTTGGGAATTTTAAATTTAGAAAAGGCGATTTCAACGTTTATTGGTTTTTTGGACTCGAATAATGCATTTTCTGCCAAGAGTTGAGGTCTGCAGCTGACGTCACAAATAGTGGGGTCTCGTGGACTTGGCAGACACTTTCAGCTCAATAAGCAGTTCTCCACAGCATATACAAAAACAAACAGCAGATTAACTCTCACGCGCATCTCTTACAGCCTATCTTTAAATGGCAGAACAATGAGATTTAACGCGCACCTCATCTGCGCACGCCGCCATTTTGGGATACAAAGCTCGAGTCAGAGTCAGCCTGCTGATTGTTTTTGTATATGCCGTGCTATAGGTGAAGTGTTCTTAAGCATACATGTACCAGGAGCGGCGTAACATTACTAAATATTATATAGTAGATTTTTATTCCCGATTACTTTATATTTGATTACTGATTTGTATTACTACAGAGAGAATTCGTAAGAATATTGCTACCTCATTCGTGAGATCGTGAAATTATGACCAAAATCGTGTAATCTTACGAATATTCGTGAGATCTGGCAACACTGTCTAGGAAGTTTGAAATAAAACATGCTGTTAGCCATAGCTGTATTCCTTCCACACAAGGAGGGGCTCCGGAACAGCTCCGTGGCGTTTCGCGGGTTTGTTGCACCCGAAGTGCTCAAGCCCCAATCCCTCCTTTCGGTCCTTTCCTCTCACACACCATCTCACGAGCGGTTCCTTTCAAAGTGGGGTAGGGTCGAGTAAGCTAATATTTCAAGCTCTCGAAAGAAATACAGCTATTGCGTTTCTTCTAGCTTTGGACCAGCTGGACATTGGATTTTATTTAATACGAAATACGAACCAAACCAGCAAGAAAAATCCATAGGTTATGTTGTACAATGCAAAAGATTTTTTCGCGAGACGAGATCAGACGGGACGAGACGAGACTCTCTACGACTTTCGTCTCGTTTCGAGTTAATCTCGAGGTCGAGACGAGACGAGACGAGATTGATGCTCAGGCGCGACGAGACGAGATCAACCGCTAATCTCGTCTCGTCTCGTCTCGCGGCATCAATAGTTTCAACTACCATTTTTTTTCACATTTTATTCAATGTTGCGTCTCGAAAATTTGTTAGCAAATCTCAGATTCGAATTCAGCACCCCAAAAAACTGTACTATAGAGGAAAAAGCAATGTTTCTGAATAATGCTGGAATTAGAACAGTTATCGATCTCGACATCCCCGTTATGACGTCAGTCCGGTAAATCACGTGCATGCGGAGCTGATAATAACCATGCTCTGATATTGATGTTATGTGATATGATATTGTCAACCCTACATGGGACCACGGGCTACAACCAAATTCAATACACTGAACCACGGGTTAAAACAAATAACTGCAACTGAGCAAGAAAACACAACCAGACTAATTAACCTAATTATAGTCAGAAAATATTGGATATAAAAGCCACGGGCCACACTACGTCAAATCAGTCGTGTCTCAGCGCTTTTCTGAATCAGTAGGTGTTTAGACACGTCTCAAAATTCGGAAGCTATCTGGCCGAATAGGGATTGCGCATCGTATCTCTGTTCGAGCAGATTTCAACTGACGACCCAGACTCTGTGAGTCGTGTCTCAGCGCTTTTCTGTATCAGTAGGCGTTTAGATACGCCTCAAAGTTGGGAGCTATCTGGCCGAATAGGGATTGCGTATCGTATCTCTGTTCGAGCAGATTTCAACTGACGACCCAGACTCTGCGCTTCGGTACAGGCTTCCTAGCTTCTATTGTCGGTGTTGGTTTGGTTTTCTTAGCGGCTACTGACCACAAATATCAAGCTTGGGTTTATACCCGACGGATTCGCTCAGGTGCCTTCAGACCCTTTTCAGCCCGAAGGGACGTGCTGGCTCAAGATGAGAACAATATGGTAATAATTGTGTGTTTTACTCTTAATGTAATCTCTGCCCTAGAACATTAAATATATTATATTTATCTAGCGTTATTCTGGTGTTCCCTTTCCCTTCCCGTCCTGATTTTCAAGGTGAATAGTCGAGCTACGTAGCGGAGCAAGAGAGGTTTCGTGACAATATCCCAAAAACGTAAACTATATACATATATATTTATGGAATTTTTAGTTTTTTGTATTGGGTAACATTAAAATTATTACAGCAAAATTGCCTCAGATTGATCGACCGAAACCGTCTGGTTGAACCGGAAGCTACAATTTCGTGGTCTTTAGTTTTTCTGAAATAGGTCAAATATCCTATAAGTTTGAACTGTATGTGACCAATCGGAAAATAAATGCGCCATCATCGAAATTTTTTTGAAATCACAAAGAAAACATAGGTAACCTTACTTAATGTTCAGGATACATGTTTTATCCGAACCTGCCTTTTCCTAACGTCAATCAAGATCCATCTATGCCATGAAAACAAAAAAGAGAACCAGAGAAAAGACAGGTCGCCAAGGAGTTGTTGAGAACTTGTCATTATTATTATTAATTATTTAGAATCCTGACATTTTGTTGCTCCCATTTTCAATTTGTGATAAAACCTAGTTTAAACGAAAATACAGTCCGCTATCAAATTGTAACACTTAACTTCTCCTAAATTAGGTATTTATAATTTTCCAAACATAGACAAAAATTTGGTTTTAGTTGAGCTTTGCTCGCCATAGAAGAGGTTTTTACGTTTGTGGAAATGGATCAAGAAACTGAACCGAGAATGAACATTAAAATGAAAGGAATGGCCACTGGAATTAGCAAAGTATTGTTTTGTCTTTAGTGAGAAATTTTTATTTTCTGAATGAATTTTTTAGTCTGAAAACGGATCTATTATTCAAAATAAATTAGTATCTATTGAAAACAAATGCATAATATCCACCAAAATCTTTTTGAGTTAATAAACATCGTATCTTCCAATGATCATTACCTAATTCGAAATCGCCCCCGGCAGGCTTATTCTCTAAAAACAGCAATTACATAGCAACCAGCAACCGGTCGCAAGTTGCTTTTTTTGAATAGAAAACTCGCGTTTGACAGCGACTTGACAGCGACTATTGCGCAATTATCTGCGGTCGCAAGTTACAGAATAAGGCTGCGGATGGAGCGTTAGAGCCGTAAACAATGTTGCCCGCTAATTGGTCTGATATTACCATGCAACCCTATTAAAGTTTAATGGCACTTGAAGTCCGCCTATGTTTTTTCAGTAGATAGCCCATTTGCACAAGAACTTGATTTCAAATAATGTTCCTTCCCCTTATTCGGATATCTTTATCTTTAACGTGTTTCCAACCATTGAAAAAATATATATTGTTTATTTCTTTATATGTTTTTGGCAGAGAAGTATAAATAATACCAAAGTCTGTACGTTTCTCAAAAACATGATATATTTGCCACTTGGATAAAGGATGGAATAAAATATTGTTATGTTTGAATTGTATTTTTATATATTTTCCATAGAATCTTCATTGCCATAAAGGTACGGGTTCATTTATTTAGTAATACGTTTGTTCACAATGTTTACATTATACTATGCGATCACGGAAAGTCGGTATTCCACTGTATGGTGATACAATTCTCCTGGATATAGAACTGCAGGCGGAAAATTTTTCTAAAAGTAAAATTTGTTAAAAAGGCAAAGATCCGGGTACTTCGGGTAGTCAGAAGCATTCACCAGTGAAGCATTGTATACACCCGGATACAATAATAGGTGGCAACATTGTCAGGCGACTATAGCTTTTCCTCTTCAGTCGCTTGTCATTTGGGATTAAAAAAACTTTGGAAGGTCTATAAAAGTTTCAGAAATACAATATATTAATTTGATTTGTGCATCAGTGAGTGGAAAATCAACGGAGATATCACAAAAAGTGGACATCCGAAGAAATGTTGAATATAATAGATAGTGAGACATGAATGTGCCTCTATGAAATATCTATTTCGAGAGTACAGGAGCGTAACAAAAAAAGAAGAAAAAGCACGTTCAGCAGTTTTTTTAGCCATCAGAGATAACACAATAACAAAAAATATATAAATAAATTATTTACTATCAATATAACGTCTTGTATTTTCCTTTTTAATAAGACTTATCAACCTTATAGACAGGATACGTTTGTGTTCATAATGAAATATACTGTCCGTGGAAAAAGATACAGTAAGCCGAAAATGTTGCCACCGATAAAATCCAAGTTTTAAACCATTGCACAAACTCCAACCAAAGTCGAAAACAAGCTTGGTCAATATTATCCAAGTTCGACGTGACAAATTGAACTTAAGGCTTAACATTAACTTAGGTGTTTCAATTACGTTTTTGCGAAAATTCGTTTGAGCCTTATTGAACCTGTTAGCTGGTTAGAATTTGCTTTAGAAAAAAATGTTTCAAATGCCCCGCCCACTAGGTAGGTATACATAATACATATTTACGTGATTAACTGCATCAGGATAATTTTGTGTTTCAAAACAAAAAGAGCCATGTTTGTAATATTTGGAACCCCCTTTGCCAGTCAAACGTTCCAATTTGTTTGAGTCCCCCTTGAAAAATGTGGGATTTTCTGGAATGTGGTTTCCAGTGTAAAATTGAACACCTGGTTGGTTACTGTATATCTCTAAACTTCTTCCTAGAAATACTTCAGCGGTTAGGTGCCCAAATAATAAGGATATAATGTTTTCTAATCATTTGTGAACTTTTTTGATTGCTTACCCGTTGGTGGATGAACTGCTCTAGCAATAAACCTATTTTCCTGAGAAGATCCTTTTGTAACGCAGAAATTATGGTCGTAACCCAGATATCCTGGAATTTTGTTTATCTTCTCCCCAAGAACTATAGGAACCCTTAAGTCAAAAGCAGTATTCGCTACTGACAATAGTTTTCCTTGAATTTTTTTTCCAAATTAAAATCGATTTGAATTATATGATAAGGTACCTACCAGATGGTATGGAATTGTTATCCACATCAGTTGTATAGTCAGCATTTATGGATATCAAATGTTTGTATACTTGTTCAGCTCCAGCATCATGTCCTCCTAAATTGAAGTACCTGAAAGTTCTTATGATACTAAGAAATTGTTGGCTCCTTTATTTATATTTACGAGTGATTAGTCAAATTAACAAAAGTCGGTTTACTAGAAGTCGACTTGAAATCAAAAACGAATCTGTTATCACTCGTAAGTTCATAAGTTACTGTAGTTATAACGTCGCCAGGAAACCCTTCTTCCAAATCCTTAGATAAATAGCTTAGACTCAGTTTATTACCATCGACGTAATGATTCCAATTAACCTAAAATTCAGTCGCTGAAATGTCGTGTTTGCAATAATTGGACTCTCCTAACTTTATCAAATCCTTTAAGCCCCCCATGCAAAGTATGCTCTCCTAAATTTGCGGTTACGTTATAAGTATGTTCATCAATTGTTATTCTGGCATAACCGATGCGGTTCGCTACTCGTCCTACTGTAGCTCCAAAGTAGGGATTTAGAGGATTCAGATACCCTGAAGTATAAATTGGGTTTGATATATTGTTAAGAATTAGTTTACATGTTACCTTTAATGTCGTCAAATCCCATTACAATATCATCGGAAGTCCCATTTTTATCTGGCATTTTTATTGATGTTATTGTGGCTCCATAAGTGATGACTTGAACAGAAACTCCTGATGAATTCCTCCAAGTGAATCTTCTGACTGAATTTTTTTTTCCTAGAAATCGAAACCTATAATAATTGATTTGAAACTTAAAAAAAATTACCAGTGTATTTATCAATATAAGTATCAAATTCATCTTCTTCAAATTCCACTCCATCGTCTTGATTGTATTTTACTGCCATTTCTTGATAGCACTGATCGGCAGTTATCGCTGAAGTCATACCACAAAAAGCCCAATGGGTTATTGCCCTAAAATAAATATTTTGCATACCTCTTAAGCCGGTCCTACACGATGCGTCCAACGTTGGCTCCAACGTTGGATCCAATGTTGGAGCCAATGTTTTGACACACTACAATTGGCAAGTGTGTCTCCCACACGATGGGGTGAATTTTCAGTTCCAACATTGGACGCATGTTGGTGCCAACGTTGTCAATCTATGTTCATTGTCGTAGTCGTATTTCGCGTAAAAATTGTTCAACAGAAATTTTTTTAATTAAAAATGGAAGATGAACACATAAGCATTGCTGGCATTGCTGCAAACATGATAGTTTTACTATCATGTTTCAGAATTATTACATCATTTAGAGAATTTCTATTCTTTTATCCCTGATGTTTGGGATTCCATAAAATAGGCTGTTTCTCATACAGCTAAATAAATTCAAGAATAAGTTCATTATTCCACTCCATTATTAATGTACAATCTACAATGAGAAAAATATAGGTATAGCAAAACAAACCAAAAAATAAAATAAAATTTTTGGTGCTACACTGATTCTATAATAAATGCGACAAACACATGATCGCTTGTGTAGGCGTATGACGAACGATGGTTCCAACGTTGAAAGTTCCTTTGACGCGGGTAAATTTCACCGACATGAGCCCGAACATGTCATGTGGCCAACGTTGGACACATGCAATTCCCAAGTGCACGCCCACAAGGTGTGTCAAATGGCGATGTGTCCAACGTTGGAAGGCTTTCGCCACATCGTGTGGGACCGGCTTTATAATAGTGAGGGTCTGTTCCTTATAATTGAAGCGGCAAGTACAACTTGCAGGGTTTCATCTCTATTATCTTTCGCACATTTCAAAACGGGCAAATGACAGGTGCCAACTGTCACAATGACAAGCACATGCATCTTTTATCTTTTTAAATAGAACAATCTGAGAAAGATTTTCTTCTTCCGATTCCAAATAAATCATATATGTTGATATGTTGCATGTATTTTTCATTTGCCCGCTTTGACATGTGCAAAAGATAATGGGTCTGTTTTCACAAAAATCACAAACCTATCAGACCGAATTTTATTGATTGAAAACAGTCAGAAAACTGGTTTTTGGGGATTTGCACCAATCAAAAACGCTCTGAATTGATTGTGATCTCTGTGAGAACAGACCTAATAGAGATAAAAACCAAAAACTTTTGTATTTATTTATTTTTTTTTTGTTCAAGTTGTGGAAGCCGCAATAATTTTAAGGATCAGACCCTGTCTAAAGAAAGAACAAACACCCACTTCATGGTAGTTTTTTAATTAAATCAAAAGCACAAATGAAAGCTTACCTTTAAAATTACTATAAGGCTGGTCGTAGAACGAACGAATGCACCTATTCAAACAGGTGCAGGTGAACTGTCAATGTATAGATAATTTATCCAGTCTTTTATTGCCTAGGTTAGGTTCAAAATAAAAACCTCGATCTTATCAATGTTTTTCGGTAAACCAGAACCACACATTCACATAACAATAAATTCTAGCAAAATAATAATTTTATGGCCGCGAAAGTTCGTTTACCTACGCGCCTGGTTACTGCATTATTTGACTGATTAAACTTTGTTTATTTTACGTGCGATATGTAGCTAACCAATGATGATAAAATATACTGATAGCAAAATTTAAATCCACGGTTGGCATATTTTCATGAATGTTTGGTCGGTAAATAGCCGAATTTCGATTATTATTTGAAAAAATTGATGGCGATTCCACTAATCTGGACTATTTGAGACACATTTGAGGTTATTTAGCATAAAATAGCAAACTAGGTGTTAGTTTTTGTGGAATTGACATAAAAACAAATCACGCAATTAGTTGGACAACTCAATATTATGGGCCATTAGGAGCTTAGTGACTGCCTAATTTTGCCGCTTAAACTGTTTATTTTTTTTTTTCCGCAGATGACGGAAAAACAAAAAACATCAGGTCGATATTTTTAATTTGACAATATCCTAATGTGAACGCAAAGTCCAAATGTTAATATAGGTAATATTAACATAATAATTACCCATATTAATAGACACTTACCAGTAAAACTAGTTATGTCAGTTTGATAGTTATTGTCAATTAATATAATAATTGTAATATTAAACGTTCCTTAATAAACCTATGTTATAAAATAAAACATTGCGCAGTCGTAATAGTAAACCGACCTACGAAGAAATGGAATTTAACAAGCTTAAAGAGCTATTCCTTAGTGGAAATGTTGCTGAAAATTTTCATAACTTTAATGATGAAGTACAGATTTATTTTTAGCTACTAAAACGAATAAAAAATCGAAGGAAGTCCAAGTAGCAAGATTGAAGAATTTGGTGGGATCAGAAGCTCTAAAGTTGTACAAATCTATTTCTGATCTGAAGCCAGAAGAAGAAAATGTTGAGAAGATCTTACGCGTTTTGGAAAATCATTACTTACCCAAAAAAAAAAATAATGAATGTATAACAATTCTTAAATAGGAAGCAACAAGATGGTGAGCCGTTTGAAAAATTTTATGCTGACCTAAAATTTCTGATTAACTTATGTTATTTCGAAAGTCAGGAAAACAAATTATTGAAAGCACAAATTGTATTGGGAATTTTTTCAAAAAGTTTGAAGGAACGTTTTTTACGTGACGACTGTTCATTAGAAAAAATGATTGATGTATGCAAATCTGTTGAATCAGCAGAAAAAAATATCAAAATTTTATCTTCAAATCCCAATGACATGTCTGTTGACAAGGTTACATATAAAGCTGACAGATCAGTGATCAAAAAAATACAATTCAACAAATTTAAATGTTCTCGATGTGGTTCTCAGCATGATTATGGTAATTGCCCAGCGTTTGGAAAAAAATGTTTCAATTGTTCACGTATTACCCATTTTTCTTCGGAATGTAAAACCCAGAAACAAAATGATGTAAGAAAAAATTGTAATGAAGTAAAAACACAAAATGAATCCCGAAATGATGTGGAAGTATATGAAGTAAATGAAAATACGGAATTATACGAAGAATTATCCAATTCATGGTTTTCTATAAATGTAATAAATAATGCATGCAGGTGACCTTCAGACTGAAAAATCTTGGCATAAATGGTTGAAACTAGAAGATTTGGAAATCAAATTTAACCTTGATACAGGTACAGAGGTGAATATTTTGCCATTAAGATACATCAAGCAACTTGGTTTGCAAGATAATATCAAATTTTTCAATATAAATTTAATTGCCTACGGGGGATTCAAAATTAAATCATTAGGTAAAATTGTTGTTCAAGTAGAAACAGATAAAAATATCAATATTTTAGAATTTGTTGTAGTTAAAGACGATTGTGTTCTGATATTAGGGTTGAATTCATGTCTTAATCTGAATATAGTTAAACGCATTGATACCATAGCAAATTATTCAAATTTATGTACTAAAATATATTTTTTTTTAAAATATAAAGATACCTTTGAAGGTTAGGCTGTTTTCCTGATATTTGCCAAATAAAGCTTCATAAAGATGCTATTCCTTTTGTAGTCTGGGAAAATTGTCGATTTTCAAAAAAAAATAATCCTACCCAAAAGAACTTTTCAGGGATGTTAGGGGGAGGGTGGGTGATCATAAAACCAAAAATATCAAACATTCACCCCTCTGGCGTTTTGCGCTATAGGGGTTGAAAGTGCCCCATTGGCGATTACTTGGTACCTATTGATTTTACAAAAAAATGTTTCAGATAAAAGATGTGCAACATTATTTGATCTACAATGTTTATCTAAAGACTTTTTTGATTAAGGGCCTTCTGTGGTCATAAGAGCCGTTTGAAATTTTATAATGAAAATGAAAAATTTTAACCAACGTGAAAAAAATTTCTACAACTCATACAACATTTTTGCTTTATGAAGTTTTTACTCACCCCCTGCCGTTTTTCAATAGGGGTAGTTTAAAGTTTTTTTATTTTTTTACAAAAAAATTTCCTTAATAAAAGTTTTATAAGATCACATTTCCTACAATTTTTCCTAATCAACTTTTTTTGTAAGTCACCCCCATTCAGCGGGGGGACACTTCCCTCGGGGAAATTTTAGTTTTTAGGGGTATATATTAATTTTTTTTTCTTTTCTCGCCTTTAGTGCGTATAAAAAGTTGCAATTAACATTGTATTAAAAGGATTTTTTTTCACCACATTTTTGTTTTTAGGGGTAGTTCGCCTATTCTCAACTTTACAAAAAAAATTATTGAGAAAACTTGTTCATTTTATTATTTTGAGCAACTTTTCCCTATAACTTTTTTTTGTAAAGTTGAAAATAGGCGAACTACCTCTAAAAACAAAAAGGTGGTGGAAAAAAAATCCTTTCAGTACAATGTCAATTGCACCTTTTTATATGCACTAAAGGCGAGAAAAGAAAAAAAAAAATAATATATACCCCTAAAAACTAAAATTTCCCTAAGGGAAGTGTCCCCCCGCTGAATGGGGGTGAGTTACAAAAAAAGTTGATTGGGAAAAATTGTAGGAAATGTAATCTTATAAAACTTTTATAAGGAATTTTTTTTTGTGAAAAAATAAATAAACTTTAAACTACCCCTATTGAAAAACGGCAGGGGGTGAGTAAAAACTTCGTAAAGCAATGATGTTGTATGTAATATAGAAAAAATTTTCACGTTGGTTAAAATTTTTCATTTTCATCATAAAATTTCAAACGGCCCTTATGACCACAGACGGCCCTTAATCAAAAAAGTCTTTAGATAAACATTGTAGATCAAATAATGTTGCACATCTTTTATCTGAAACATTTTTTTGTAAAATCAATAGGTACCAAGTAATCGCCAATGGCGCACTTTCAACCCCTATAGCGCAAAACGCCAGAGGGGTGAATGTTTGATATTTTCGGTTTTATGATCACCCACCCGCCCCCTATCATCCCTGAAAAGTTCATTTGGGTAGGATTTTTTTTTTTGCAATACATGTATTTTTCGACTATTTTCCTAGGCTATTGCCAGTTCTGCTCGTAGAATACCTATGAAAATCAAAGATAGATTAAAACCAGCTTTAGATTTTTTGGTTGAGAAGGAAATTATAGTTCCAGTAAATGAACCAATCGAATGGGTTTCTAATATAGTAATTGTCGAAAAACCTAATAAATCTTTAAGAATTTGTATAGATCCAATTCATTTAAACAAATTTATTATTAGGAAAAGATATACTATTCCTACAATAGAAGAGCTAGCACCATCTCTTGCATAAAAAAAATATTACAGTGTGCTTGATATTAAAGATGGTTTTTATCATCTAAGATTAGATAAGGAATCAAGCCAACTCTGTGCATTTAGTACAGTATTCGGAACATACAAATTTTTAAGAGCACCATTCGGGTTATGTAATTTACCGGCACTTTTCCACAAATTAGTATGTATTTAAATATTTTGGAGATATTCCAGGAGTAACAATATATTTTGATGATATTTGTATAGCTACCGATACTATTGATCAACATAACCTGGTTATACAGGAACTTTTGGAACGAGCTAAAAAATATAATATACAATTTAGTTTTGAAAAATTTCAATGTTGTGTAAAATAAATTAAATACATTTAATTTTTTTTGAAAACGAAATGTTGCCTGATCCTTCAAAAATTGAAATAATTAAAAATGTGCCTTATCCAAAAAATAAAACAGGATTACAGAGAATATTAGGTATGATAAATTATTTAAGGCATTTTATTCCAAATTTATCCAAAATTATTTCTCCTTTGCGCGAATAAATAAAAAAAGACATTGAATGGAATTGGTCAAATCTACAAGTTCAATTGTTAAATAAAATTGAAAATATTATTTGTAGTAGTCAAGTTCTTGCTAATTTTGATATATCACTCCCTATTGTCATTCAGTGTGATGCATCAAAAGATGCACTTGGATGTTGTCTTTTACAAAATAATAAGCCTGCTTGTTTTGCTTCTAGATGTTTAAATTCAGCAGAAATTGAATATGCACAAATTGAAAAAGAACTTTTGGCTAATACTTTTTCCTGTCAGAAATTTCATAATTATATTTATGGACACAATGATGTTACTATTTATACAGATCATATGCCATTATTATCTATCATTTCAAAAAGCATTGGAAAAATACAAAATAATATAATTCGGCGTTTGAAATTGAAGTTATTTTTGTATAGTTTTAAAATAAAATATTTGCCTGGCAAAAAAATGTATAGGTATTGGAGATTTTTATCAAGATGTACCTAATGTAAAAACACCTATATATCATGATCATTTAAAATGAATGACGTCGTGCATGTGATAACCGATAAAACTTTAAATATTTCTGATGAAAAATTAAAAGAATTTCAAGAAGAATCTCTCAAAGTCCAAAGATAGTGTTCTATCTAATATCATACATTTTTATAAAAATGGTTGGCCAAAAAATTTCAATATGACCGGTGAATTAACGCATTATTACAAATTAAGAAATAATATAGAACTTGCAGATGGTTTACTTTATTAAAATGATCGGTTAATGATACCAAATTCAATGAGAAAATGTATGTTAAACTTATTACATGAAACACATTCCAGTGCATCTAAA